CTTGACAGCGCGTGGCGGTGCCCGGAGCCTTAAGACACCGCGTCCAGCCTCTGGCGCCTTCAGTCATGGTAGGGGACTCCAGAGGGCACGCCCCCCTCTTGAAGTCCTAAGTCCGGTTTGGAGGCAGCGGAACCTCCAGAGAGGTCAGAGGTAGAGCGAGGACACTGTCGGAGGCGGTGGCGCTGGTCTGGAGTGCGGGAAGCCGAGAAAAAAGGGTCAGAGACCCCCTTCCCCCAGGTCACTCGCCCCGCCCACCCATCCCCAGGGCTCCTCCTACCTGGAGGGTAGCGCTAGGGGCGGGATTCCAGCTCCTGGGCCTGGCAGGTCACCGGATGGGCACCGGCCCTGGGGGTCGGCAGGCAGTGGCTTCCTTGGGGGTGGGGGCTTGGCTGGCCCCTGAGACTGAGGGAGAGAAGGCAGGAGGCCGGCTTAGGTGGGGGGGTTGTCATGTTGCCCACCCCCAACGCACTGGTGCTGGGGAACACCAGCTTGGGGGCAGCACCATCGGTCACCCTTGTCTGCAAACAAACCTGTCACCATTAAAGGCACCACCTGGATATGTGCCCTCATGCACTGAGGGGGCATCTCGCCACGGCCACCACCGTCATGGCTACCAGCACCACAGCCCTAGATGGGGGGAGAGGCCGTGCCCTTCTCTCCCCCCACCGTTACCTTCGGGCTTCTCACCATCGGGTCAGCGGGCAGAGGGCGGGTAGGGGGATTGGGTCGGTCAGCCAGCTCAGCCTGAACAGAGAGAGGGGCAGTGGCTGTGAGAGCATAACCAGGGGCTGTGGACATGCATAGAGATTCCCCAGAGGGGTTCAAGTCAACATGCAAAGTCAGCCAGGGGGCAGGAGAGAATGAGGGCATGCGCAGAGGGTTTGGAGGCATGCCAGCTGATGTCTCAGGGGAGGAAGGTGTAGGTCAACCGCGGAGTCCCTGGCCGACTGCAGTCCCGCCACTGACCACCAGATGGTGGTAGAAACCAAGGCAGGAGGCTCACCCTTTGCTGCTTCTGGGGCTCAGAGTGTCTGAAGGCTGAGGGGCACCCCGATCACCTAATGAAGAGCACCACTGGCAGGGAGCAGGGATGAGAACTGCAGTTGGGTACCAAGCCTCCCACCTGCCTTGGCTCAGGGCGGGCCCTGGCCCAGATTTACCTGGAGTCTCTTGGGCACAGGGTCAGGCGGCAGCGGCCTGGAAGGGGGGGCCGGGAAGCCGAGAGCACTAGCCTGCTGAGAGGGCAGGAGGGGCAGATGGGCACAGAGGGGGAAGAGGAAGCAGAGAGACAGAGTGGGCAGAGAAGGGTCAGTGCCCAGGGAGGGCTGGCAGGGGCCCAGGGCAGTGGGTGCTGTGCATGCAGTTATGCAGGTGCATGCAGGTGGGGAGCAAGTGGGGAGGAGGTGTGCACACACTCCCATCATCCAAGCAGAGGGCTTAGGGCGGGGGTGCTCACCAGCCCTTCTAACATGGTGACCTGGGCCCACAGAAGGCCATTCTGAGCACCACTGCCCATGTGCCCTCCTGGGGTCACTGCTGGGGGCACGGATAGACCCACCTCTCAAAGCCACCTCTTGGCCAGTGGATGGAGCCCAGCAGCCCCTGCTCCAGCTGGCTGCCCTCCCCACTCTTCTGGACTCAGCTTCTCTGCCTGTAGCCAGGGGAGGGGAAGGCAGGGCAGGGCTGGCCCTGACTCCTTCGACTGACTCTTGGGCAGTGCTAGCCTTTCTCTGAGTCTGGAGCCTTTAATGTGCACCCCCCAGGGTCCAAGCTGGAGTCCCCTTCCTCTGGCATCTGGGACTCACCTTAGTGCCTCGTGCCAGCAGGGCCCTCTGCGGAGGTCCTGGCCGTTCAGGGGGACCAGACTGGGCTGCCCTATGCATGAGGAAAGGCAAGAAGGGAGAGGGCCCAGCCTCAGACCCTGTTCTCTACCTTATGCCATCCTTGAGTGGGGTTAACCCTTTCTTTGCAGGCACTTATGTGTGGTATAGGGAAAACTGTGGTGGGGCCCGTGGGGGCGTTATTTATTAGCTTGAGGGAAGACCCCACTTATCCAGCACAGGAGCTCCTGGGGAGAAATGGCCCTAGCACTCCAGCCACCCCACAGGGGCACAGCTGTGAGGTAAAAAGCTGTGGGTGCATATAGGGAAGGGAGGTGTGGGGTATGGCAGTCAGCAAGTTTAAGGTCCAAGGGGCTTGGGGCTCAGAACCAGGTTGCAGGGGCTGCAGAGGTGAGGCAGCCTTCAGCACTGTCCCCAGTTAAAGGAAGTGGTAGCAGGGAGGTGATGCTCATACCTGTACTGGCAGGTGGGTCCCTTGAGCTGGCAGAGTCGCTGGTGCAGGCGGGCACGGTACCAGTAGCTGGCACCAAGCATCACCAGGACCAATAACACCAGGAGGCTGAGGAGCAGCCCTGTGGTCAGGGAGCTGGTTGCTGTGGGCGGAAGTCAGGTTTAAAGGAGGGCAGGGCTAAGAACTCTAGAGCCATGAAGGCGCAGGGGGCAGGGAGTGAGGTCAAGTGATCAGGGAGAGTGAAGGGGTCAAGGGGCAGACTCAGGGAACCAGCAGCAAAGGGGGGTCAGAAAGAGAGGGCCGAGAGGGAAAGATAAAGCATGAACCACTTTGCCCTCCCAGCTGCCCCTGTCCCCCAACCCCATGCCACCTTTGAGCTGAGTGGTGCAGTCAGGGGGTGCCCAGCCCTCCTCACAGTAGCAGTGCCTGTTGCTGTCACAGACCTAGGAGGTATAAGGTGAGCAATGAGGAATGCTGCACTCTGGAACTATTTCCTTGTCTCTAGCTTTTCAAGATCTCACATTTCTACAACTGGGGGTTGTGCTGGGTATGATGTGTAGAGAGAGCCTGGAGGGTCTTTATCCACACCAGAGCAAATTAGATCAAACTAACACTTACTGAGCACCTTCTGTGTGCTGGGCACTGTGGTACATGCTTGCTTTCTTTGTGTTTGTTTTGTTTTGTTTTATTTTATTTTAGACAGCAAATAAGATGGAGTCTCACTCTGTTGCCCAGGCTGGAGTGCAGTGGTGCAATTATGGCTCACTGCAGCCCCGAACTCCTGAGCTGAAGCAATCCTCCTGCCTTGGCCTCCCAAGTAGCTGGGAGCACAGGTGTGCACCAGCAGGCCTAATTTTTAAATTTTTCCTTGATAGAGACAAGGTCTCACTATGTTGACCAGGCTGGTTTTGAACTCCTGGCCTCAAGTGATCCTCCTGCCTTGGCCTCCCAAAGTACTGTGATTTGGCTGGGTGCAGTGGTTCACCCCTGTAATCCCAGCACTTTGGGAGGCCAAGGCGGGCGAATCACTTGAGGTCAGAAGTTCGAGATTAGCCTGGCCAACATGGTGAAACCCATCTCTACTGAAAATAAAAAAATTAGCTGGGCGTGGTGGCGGGTGCCTGTAATCCCAGCTAGTAGGGAGGCTGAGGCAGGAGAAACAATTGAGCCTGGGAGGCGGAGGTTGCAGTGAGCCGAGTTCACGCCAGTGCACTCCAGCCTAGGCAACAGAGCAAGACTCTGTCTCAAAACAAAACAAACAAACAAACAAACAAAACTGTGATTATAGGTGTGAGCCACCGTGCCCAGCCTGTGCTAGATGCTTTCATACTCACCTCATGTGCCTTGGATGGGGATACTATTATTATAGCCATTTGATAGGTGGGGAAACTGAGCTCAGCAAAGTTAGTAACCAGCCTGAGGTCGCACAACTAGGAAGTAGTAGAGCAAGGATTAGAACCCAGATATGTCTGTTTCCAAAGCCCAGCATCCTTTTCCTCTCTAGAGGCTCTCTGCTCCCCTTCCACTTCACCTATCCCAGCTCACCCCATGTCCATGGCATTTGCTTCGACATTCCTGTGCCCCCAGGAGATCCACACGCTGGCATCGATGGTCTATGCACACCTGACCCAGGGAGAGAAAAGCCTGGATCAGATTCCCACAGAGTTTTAATGGGACTGGGAGGCCAACAAGGTTGAGGTCACACCCTGCGTTTACATATGGGGAAACCAGCGCGTAGTGGGTTGATAGGCTTTGCTCCATCTGAAGTAAGAAACTGACTTCCCTTGGAGTCCCTGCCTTTGACAATGGTGAACGGTGAAGTCTGGGCACTTCACTGTGGTCCAAATGTCCCTTCTCACACCTGGTCTTGCCCACCCAGGCTGCTCACCAGGCCAGGGCCACAGGCTGTGCCAGGCAGAGTCAGGAGGGGCTGGGCCACATCACTGCCCAGGTCCAGGTGCACCCAGCTGCAGTTCAGCTCAGTCCCATTCACATCTATTGTCTCCCAGAGTAGATCCTGGATGGAGCCCAGCAGAGGCTGGGTCCTACCTGTCTGGCACTGGAGTTGCCCGCAAATGGCATCTCTGGGGGAAGGGGGAAGGGGGAAGGGCACACAGGTTAGTAGAAGCAGGGCCAAGACTCCCAGAAACCCGAAGGAGGAGCCAGGTTTCCTCACTTACCTAGGGGTACAGGACACGTAGCCGCCACTGGGGTTGCGCCCACAGCTCCCAAAGGCATTTCCCCGAGTATTGGCTGTCTGGAGGCAAAGTGGCGCAGCGGGCTGGGCTCCAGGTCCCCAAAGTGACTGGCACTGCTGGGCATAGGAGGCACAACGCCCATGCATGCACACAGCTTGCCCACCAGCGCAGGGCTCGCCGTCCCCTAGGCTGATATCAGGGGGACACTGGGAGCTGTCTCCTGGGCAGAATTCAGGCAAGTCACAATCCCCTCTGGTAGGACGACACTGCCAGCCAGACGGGCGTAGCTGTCGAGGGTGGATGAGCATCATTGTGGGCACTGGGCAAATCCAGCTAGGGGGTCAGAATGACCCTTTCCACCTTGGCCCCGGCAGGTGAGCTCTGGGTGGCCAGTCTAGTCTCTACCCACCTGGCAATTTTGACAACAGGGTCCGTCGGAGGCACACTGTGCCCCTGGCCTCAGCTGGCAGGTTGAGGAATCACAGCAGGGATCAGCGCAGTCCTGTGGGCAGGAGCACGGGGGCCAGGCATCAGAGCAGGTGGGGCCTGTGAGCCTCCCTCCAATCCCTCCTCCTCCCACAGGCCAAGACCAGAAGGACGCCCAGAACTACACAGCAAGCAAGGGCTAGAGACGAACAACCCACGTGCTGTCCCCACAGACACGGTAAGTAGGAGAGGGGTGGGAAGTCCCTTCAGAACCCAAGAGGAGCTCAGGAGGCTAGGAGAGGGCTAATGACCAGGGTGAAGGCACAGAAGTGAGTGGGGCAAGGCTTTGGGAAAGGGGCTCACATCTGGGAAGCCACAGTCACACTGTTCGCCCGGCTCCACAAACATATTTCCACAGAAAGCAGCCATAGGAGGCAGGCTAGGCAGCCGTTCAAAGAGGCAGCTGCCCATTCCATCCAGGAGGGCTTTCTCCAGGGCCTGTCGGCTGCAGTTGCTGAAGTTCAGGCCTGGCAGGAAGCTGGGGAGGGTGGCAAGGAAGGTTGGGGCTGGGGGCCTCTCCCTGCCCCTTGCCCCACCACCTCTCTGCATCCTGCAGCTACTCACTCTGTGGAGGCCTCCATGATGCAGGTCTTGGCTGGGGCTGGACCTGGACAGGGGCAGCTATTCCCGGGCAAATCATGGTCCAGGCCCAGGCTGTGGCCCAACTCATGGGCTATGGAGGAGGCGACTCCCAGGATGCTGGTGGAGTGGTCCTGTCGTTGGGGAGGGGTACCGCAGGTCCAGTCCCAGCCTGCCTCCACCACAATGCCCAGACCACCCTCTCTGCTTCTGTTCCCTCCATGTCTGACCTCACGGGCACTCAGCAGGCACTGCTTCCCTCCTGAATTGCTTCTAAAGTAGCAGAACCCAGGCCTGGATGGCAGAAACCTGGGCTCTAGCTCAGCTCTGTCCCCCTCCCTCACTGTGTGCCCTTGGAGATCACCTCTGTTCTTTGGGCCTCAGCTGCCTCCTACCCTCCAAGAAATGGGAAGACTGCACAGGGGATGACTGTGTACACTGTGACGAGCTGACCACAAGCGAGGGCTCCCTGACTGCAAAGGCCACATCACGCATCTCCACCCTCTATACCCATAGCTTTGGGGTTGGGCAACTTTGTAGGGGGATTTCAGTGAATAAATGCCTCCACACTTGGGAGGAACTGAATTGGGAATGAGGAGGAGACCTGGAAATAACTCACCATGTTCACACCTCCTGAGAAGTCAGGAGAACAGATGGAGTTCTGAATGGCCATGCCCACCATAGGCCCAGAGAATGAAGTACCACTGTGGGACAGAGAGGCCAAAGTTCAGGGCCAGAAGCCACGGTGGTCAGAGCTTCAGGGGCTGAGGCAAGTGCTGAAGGGGTGTGAATGTGGCCAGGACAGGACTGGCCTCTCTGGCTGGGTCTGGGCCTTACGTCACCAGCTGGGCACTGTCGTGAGGCAATCGAGGCAGCAAATGTGCCCTGCGCCAGTGGAGGAAGTTTTCGAGGGTGACAGCCGGGTTTGGGCTGATCTCCACCAGGTCACGCTGGGTCCAGGCCTCCAGGCCCACTAGTGCCACTCGTACATTCAGAGGCCGGAAGAACTGAAAGAGAGCTGGGGCTCAGAAGAGGGGCTGTCATGGTCAGGGCCTGGGGTGGGGGCTGCCCTGTCCAGCACTCACTGTGTCCAGCAAGAGGGCCACTTCCAGTGTGCGGTTCAGCAGGTGCTGGAAGTCCTGGTATTTCTGGACCTGTAGGCCAAGAGAGGTGACATGAAAGGCGGCAGGGCAGTGTTGGGGGAGGAGGATGCGCAGGGGCCAGCCGGCTCACCTCCGAGTGATCAGCCACAATCACCAGCTCCACAGTCTTGGTCTCTGTTACCACATCCCGCCTCCACTATGGACAAAAAGAAGTATCAGGCAAACCTGCTGCTCGCAGCCAACAGCTGTGCAGGGCTGACCAAGAGGCAGCCACTCCTACTCTGTGGGTGAAACAGGAGGGTGAAGACCCCATTTTACAGATGAGCCACTGAGGGCCAGAGGGCCCAGGAACTTGCCAAGGAGGACCAGGAAGTAGATAATGAAGGTCGGAGTAGACCCCTGCTTTTCTGGCTCCAAACTCAGTGGTTTTTTTTCAAATTTTTAAAAAATAATAATTTAGCCCGGCGCGGTGGCTCATGCCTGTAATCCCAGCACTTTGGGAGGCTAAGGTGGGCGGATCACGAGGTCAGGATATCGAAACCATCCTGACTAGCATGGTGAAACCCTGTCTCTACTAAAAAATACAAAAAATTAGCCGGGCGTAGTAGCGGGCGCCTGTAGTCCCAGCTACTCGGGAGGCTGAGGCAGGAGAATAGCGTGAACCTGGGAGGCGGAGCTTGCAGTGAGCCGAGATCAAGCCACTGCACTCCAGCCTGGGTGACAGAGCGAGACTCCATCTCAAATAATAATAATAATAATAATTTGAAAAAATCCCAATATCAACTCTTGTCACTTACCATATGCCTGGCACAGTTTTAAGCACTTCACATCTATATTGACTCATTTAATCTTCCCAGCAACTCTCTGCAGCAAGTAGTTTTATTATCTTCATTTTACAGATTAGGAAATTGGGTTTATATTGCTTTATCACTGGTAACTATGTATTATCTATAACCAAGTGAGAGCTCTCTGCAAATGGGATCATATGAATCAGATGAAGCGTTTGAGCCAAATACAACTAATATGGATAGGCCATTTATTAGTTGTATGGCCTCGGGCAAACCACCTAACCTGTCTCAGCTAGATTTTATTATTTTATTTTATATTTTATATATTTTATTTTATTTTATTTTATTTTCACTTTATTTTATTTTTTGAGATGAGGTCTCACTCTGTCACCCAGGCTGGTGTGTAGTGGCTCGATTTCGACTCACTGCAACCTCCGCCTTCTGGGCTCAGGCGATTCTTCCACTTCGGCCTCCTGAGTGGCTGGAACTACAGGCACATGCCACCATGCGTGGATACTTTTTGTAAGGTTTCTTCATTTTAAAATAGAGCTATTGATAGCACCTACCTCCTAGGTATGGGAGGAGTACACGAGCTAATGTTCACAAAGTTCCCAACATGTGGAAAGTGCTCCATTCGCAGGAGCTGTTGTTACTGTGAACACATAGCTCTGAGTGTCTGGGGGTCAGTGCTCAGGACAAGTGAAGCCCACTCCCCTGCCATTCATCCTCACCCGGCGAATGTGGCGCTGTCCCAGGGGGTGCTCTGGTGGAGTCTGAGTGTGTACAGGTTCCCGCCAGCTCAGGACACAGGTGTGGCCTGGCAGGTGGAGATCTTGGATTCGGGAAATAATGGGAGGACCCTGAACGTCCCCAGGCCCCTGCTCCAGCGTATAGCTTCTCTCTGGGGACAGGACCACCAAGCCTCTAAGAAAAAAGAAAGGAAGTTAGAAAACATTACAGCTCCATGCCTGGGTCTCCTTACTTTCTCTACTGTCATCAAATCCGCCCAGTATACCTGAGCCCAGAGCAGGTGCAGACGGACACCCAGGAGGCTGCATATCCCTGCACTCGTCCCTGGTAGCAGCAGTTCTCCTGCAGCACAGGAACAACATTAGTGTTGTCTCAGAGAGCAGACCAGGACTGGAACCGAGGAGTCTAGCTTGACAGTAAAAATAGGCAGTGTCTTCTCATCTTCCAGTTACCCCCTTCCTCTTTCCCCTAAGCCAAAAACGGCACAAGAGGCCCTGACTCACCAGAGTGTGTCCCTCACTGACCACCCGAGTGCCATCGGGCTGGTACCACACCAGGGTTGGGCGGCCTGGGACCAACTCCCTGTGGAGTGAAGGAAAAGAACGCAGTGCTCAAGCTACTTCCCAGGTCGTGCATTGACAAGCAGAGGCCTGAAGGTGGTGGTGGGGCTGGGGACCAGGGAACACCCCCCAGCCAACTTTTCCACTCCCTGACACCAGGTTCACCCCTGATACTGGGTGGGCCACTGACTCTGTTTATTTGAATTCCAATCTGGTTTTCACCACATACTAGCTGTGTGACCTGGGGCAAGTTATTTAATCTCTCTGTGCCTTGACTTCCTCATGTATAAAATAAGGACAATAATACATGATAGTATCTCCCTTACAGGGTTGTTATGAAGATTAAATGAGCACAAGCACTTAGCACCTGGCACATAATAAATGCTATACAAGTTATTGGCCATGTGGTCACTGTTGTTGCCACCATCACTATTACCTATTCTGTAGCAGCTCCAGGATATGACTGTCACCGTCCAGCTCCAACTTGATCCTCAGGGGCTCAGGCAGACTGGTCTGTGGGCACCAGAGGGCAGGTCACCTCCCTAGACCTGCCCACAACTCCCAGCCTCTCTAACCAGAAAACCTAAGGCCCTCAGAAGAGCACCAGCGATTAGATCACTGGTGGGGGGATCCCAGGGGAAGGGCCAGGAAGCCCTGCCTGGCCTGCGGCATTGTTCTGGGGGGTTGTGTGGGGAGGTCAAGGAAGGTATCTGAGCCGCCCCTTCTCGGCTTCCTGCCCAGAGAGGAAGCACCGTGTAGGACCCAGCACAAGCCCCAGCCCTTCCTCTGACTCAGCTTTATAATGGGGTTGGGGGGTGGTTTGGTAAGGTCCTGACTCTTTCCAAATCCCCCCACTGAAAAAAACGACAACATGAGATGAAGAAAGCAAATTTGGCTTCACAATTTCCCCAGTGGAGATGGATGGGTTGGGTGGGGCTGAGGCAGACAGATGTGCGTGCAGAGGGAGAGGGAGATAAGTGAAGCCAGGTGCTGGGGTGTGGTGGGAGAGGCAGCTGGGCCTGGGATAGACCCACTACAGCGAGCTCTACCCACCAGCTCCTCAGCCAAGCTTTGGCCTTGAGACACCTGACTATGCAGGGGCGTGTGTGGATCCATTTATTTATTAGAGGGGTGTGGGAGTTCACCTGAAGCACCTTTTTGAGGCTAATCGGGAGATCGTCCTGAAGGACCTGGGGCTCCAAGGGCCCCCTCGGGGCCTTCTCTGACATTGCCTGCTGCTCCTCGGTGCCACCTGCAGGTCCCAGGACACCCGAAGACAGTACTGAGGAAATCGACAGCACGGCTGGGGGTGGCAGGTGCCCTCAGACCCACCAGCTCCCAGCCAGTCAAGGCCCTTAGACACCTGAGGGGCTTCCTCATTGCATGCTGAGACTTAAAGGAAAATACTGGAAGGAGGGGGTGTCTCTCTAATTTATGGCTTTCCACCCACCCATTCACAAGTCCCCAAGAAAGACTTTCGGCTTGCTCAGCCTGTGGCCCTCCTTGTCCCCTTCCGGCCAATCCCAGGTTCTCACAGGGACCCTCCCCTGTTCCCACTCCCTCCCAATCACTCTCCCCCCACTTCAGGAACGCCCCCTCTCGAGACTGAGCTAAGCCTTGTGGCCGGGTGCCCGCTCACCCTCCCCTTCGCTCACATCAGAGATGCCAGGAACGCCCATTTCTGGGTAAGCAGTGCAAACACCCCCACCTCCCTAAACACCCTCATGCCCAGTCAGGCACACCCGCTGCCTACAGCCTCTGCTTCCTCCCCGAGCACCCCCACACCCCCCCAACACACAATGGCCCTCTCTCCTCCGGACACTCCACCCGCGCCTGCCCTCTCGGTCCCGGCCCAAGACAGCAGCGGGAAGTGAAAGTTCCAAGGAGGAGTTGGTGTCCCAACCTCTTTCCTGGCCAATTCTCCCTTCTCCTGGCTCCTCTCGGGCCCCTCCCGCTCGGCCAGGCACTGGTGGCAACAGCACCAGGGTGAGGAGTGCCTGGCGGCCCCAGGCCTGGAATACAGGCTAGAGAGAATCCTCTTCACTAAACCCTACAAGCCATGCCCGCTCTGCGCCCTGGCACCGGGTGGAACTGTAAGCTAGGCCCCAGAGCAGCGAAGATGCCAGCCCTGGGGAGCAGCTACCCTCTCACTACGATCTTGAAGTGGCCCCTCAGTACCTGGTACCTGAGCCTGAAAGTGTCCGCAGGGACCGCGCAGAGGATGACCAGGCAGGAGGAAGGGGGCGCCGGCATCCCCTCTCCTTCCCTCTCCACTCCATCGCCAAGTCACTGGGCCCTAGGCCCAGGACAGCGGACCAGGTCGGGCCGCGCTCTGGCTGGGCTCTCCCAGGGTCTCCGTCCGGCCCCATTACCCTAATGCCTTCCGACTTTCCTGCACCTCCCTCCCAGTCCGCCCCCCGACCCACTACAGGCCGAGGACTCACCTATATTTGGGAGCGGCCAGGAAGGCAGAGGGCTGCCCGCGCCCAGGAGCCCCAGGGCCCAGAGCAGCGCCAGCCGCATGGCAGCGGCGCCTGGGGCCGGGCGAGGGCAGCAAGTGCGGAACAGCGCACCGAGGAGCGGCCGGCGGCCGGGTCGCCTCGGAGCACCCAGCAGCTCCGCGCAGCCACCAGGCCCCGCCCCGGCCCGCCCCCTCCCACTTGGCCCCAAGCCAAGCTCCGCCCTCGGCAAGGCCATCCCGGCTGCACTCGGGAGCCGGGACCCCGCCCACGACGCCGGCGCTGCTCGGGCTGCTCCGCGCTACAGCCTTCCCGCAACTGTGCAGGATGGGAACCGGGGTCCGGTCTGACCGGCTTGGGCGGCGCGCCTTCACCCGGCCCCAGGTCTGGACCCCTCCCTAGTAGCTTCGCGGCCTCTCTGCCAGCTGTGCGCGGCCTGGCTCTGGAGAGGTCGGGCGGACAGGCTCTCCCGACTGCAGGCGAGGCAGCGCGCGGCTCACCCCAGTCCCCGACCCACGTGAAGCGTACAGGGCATTTTATTAACCGGGAAGGACGGGGCGGAAGAGCGAGCAGGAGGCCTCTTCACCCCGCGTAGGCAGTGTCGTCGTTGCTGTCACTAAAGGCGGAGGAGGAGAGCTCCTCGCGGGGCGTGCAGACCGGGCACCGCTGCCGCATGTCGTCCCAGCACGACCAGCAGTACACGGCCTCGCAGTCCAGCGTCGGGCACACGTAGGACTCGGGCGTCTTGGGTGCCTGGCACACCACGCAGCGCCGGCGCAGCCAGCGGCGCAGGAGCGGGCAGCCGCGGTGCAGGATATCCACCAGCGGGTGGCGCTGTTGGGAGGTGGGCGTTAGCGCCAGCCGGGGAGCGAGGCGGGAAAGAAGGGGACCTGGACAGCGTTTCCTGACTGAAGTCGCCAGGCTTGACAATGCCTGCATCTTGGAGGAGGCTGGGTTGGACAAAGGAAACTCCTGGAGGGCTAGGGTGCCTCCCTCCCCAACTCTATGATACAGAATGGGAGGATGCACCCTCCAGGCTCTCTCCCAGCAGATATCAGCCACAACTCTCATTTGCACTTTCCTGTAAATCATATTTGATTCTCACAGTGAGGCTGAGAAGTGAGCAGGCCAGATGGACTATCATTGTTGCTATCCCCACTTTACAGAGGAGAAAGGTGAAGTGACTCTTAAAGTCACACAGATAGTAAACAATCCAACTTGGCTGGACCCCAGGGACCCTAATTCCAAACAACAAACCTAGTTCACTATGCTCCCTGCCATCCCTCACGACATGTCTCCACACAGTTGTCAGGGATTCTTCACAAGCCACCTTACCCAGGAAGCAGCCACTCTTTGCCCAAGAAACTCCAGAGGCCCTGCTGCCTGCCAGACAGGCAGAAGAACTCCTGGGCTTGGCCTTCAGAGTCTTCCATCACCTGGTCCCTTTCTAGCATCTTTCCCACTTTAGCCCTCCCTGAGAGCTGTCTCTTCTGAGCCAGTTTCTCCTGAGACTAGCCCTGGCACTTGGCATTCCCTTTGGATTCTGAGTCTTTGCACATTCTGCTTGGAATGGCTGTCCCGCACATTTCCATCTGTGCATTCACATTCAGTTTGCTTCACGACCCTGTCAAGGAATCCCAGCATGTTCTTTTTTGTTTTTTGGATTTCATTTTTTCATAACACATTCATTTGACCCCTATTGTGTGTCATGGGGGCTGGGGCTATCCAGGTACTAGGGAAAAAGCTAAGCAAACACAGTCTCACTTTTATGAACTTTGTTAGGACTGATTAAATAAGAATGGCTGCCACTCATTGTTTATAATATCAGGTCCTGTACTAAGATACTGTATGTAAATTATTTCAATTCTAAATTAGCCAGGCATGGTGGTGCGTGCCTGTAATCCCAGCTACTCAGGAAGCTGAGGCACAAGACGCGCTTGAACTGGGGAGGAGGAGGTTGCAGTGAGCCAAGATCATGCCACTGCACTCCAGCCTGGGCGACAGAGTGAGGCTTAG